AGGTTCTGCAGCGTGACGTCACGAATTAACTCAGTGTTAATACACAGAAAAAAAAAGTTGTTGAATATTACATCCAAACTGTTGCAACCAGGTCAATCCATCAGTTGTGTAATATAACGTTGTACGATGGACATCGATTTTGCGAGCAAAATTACATCCATTGATGTAATATTGTATCTGCTTTTTACTTTTACATCATTATTTCATACATCAGCTTGAATTACATTGATCGATATTACATTTTTTTTTTGCGTAGACTGAATCTTTTTGACAGTTCAGTGGTACTGTTTACAAGCACTTAGTCGTTTTTTCGAAAATAAATATTCTAAAACTACGGAACTTCAACTTGAAATTTGTCGAGGAACAGCGCGATGAAAGGATGTTGCTCGTGGACAATGCAGAAGGGTGGTTTACATCTCACTGCAGTTTGAAAAATTATCGAGAAAATCTACCCAAGAAAAAAAAACGACTAAGTCCACGTAAACAGTACCACTGAACTGTCATCAGATTGAGGTTAATCCCGATGGTGCAAAACGTAATCGGCTATCGCGTTTAATTCCATTCTAATTCGTCATGTACAAAAACCGATCATCATCAGTAAAACAAAGACTCATAGGCGACAGATGCTGCCAAATACAACTGATTTCAATATTGTAGAAATAAACATGCTTTTGAATAGTTGAAGATGCTTAACACGTCAAATATCGGACTTAAAGTGGTCATTATATATAAATAGTTAATAGAGTTGATAGTTCCGTTAGAGTATGGCTGTTTGAATATGGTATATAGAGAGTAGACAACAAGTAAAGGTCAATTTTGAGGAAAGCACGGGGAGTTTGGTAAAGGAGATGATCAACCCGATTGGTGCCTTCCTCAAAATTGACCTTTGCTCGTTTTCTTCTCTCTATATACAACTTCACACTGCCGTACTCTAACGGAACTATCAACTCTACACACTTAGATTTTTTTTGCCGAAATGGGCCCCACCGAGCAGCTCGGCATTTTATTTTGCTGATCTTAGTGCAAAACTTGCCGAGATTCAGCTAACAAACGGGAATTTTGCCAAGATCTCGCTAATAAACATAAATTTTGCTGAATCTCGGCAATTTTTTCACTGAGATCCAGTAAAATAAAATGCCGAGCTGCTCGGTGGTGCCCATTTCGGCAAAAAAAAATCTAAGTGTGTAGAGTTGATAGTTCCGTTAGAGTACGGCAGTGTGAAGTTGTATATAGAGAGAAGAAAACGAGCAAAGGTCAATTTTGAGGAAGGCACCAATCGGGTTGATCATCTCCTTTACCAAACTCCCCGTGCTTTCCTCAAAATTGACCTTTACTTGTTGTCTACTCTCTATATACCATATTCCAACAGCCATACTCTAACGGAACTATCAACTCTATTAACTATTTATATATAATGACCACTTTAAGTCTGATATCGTGTTAAGCATCTTCAACTATTCAAAAGCATGTTTCTTTCTACAATATTGAAATCAGTTGTATTTGGCAGCATCTGTCGCCTATGAGTCTATGTTTTACTGATGATGATCGGTTTCTGTACATGACGAATTAGAATGGAATTAAACGCGATAGCCGATTACGTTTTGCTCGGTGGTGCCCATCTCGGCAAAAAAAATCTAAGTGTGATACTTTCATCTCCTCATCTATCGTATAAAATGACCAATTTAAGTCTGATATTTGACGTTAAGCATCTCCAACTAAGTAAATCGTTGACTTCACATATGAAGTAATACAAACATGATTAGTTAAAGTATGCTTTTTAATTTAATTCAAACATAAATATTTTAGGCTAAATCATGTTTTAAATTCACTGTGAATAATTCATATGTTTCCATTATACCGTGCCGATTCAAATTTCGGACACTTAAACTCGAATTTCGGACACTTTTAAAAGTTGATTATCTCGGTCGAATATGATCCACATGTCTTGTAAATTTTAAATTTTTTTGACTAGTGCCCTCCACGATCATCTTACATTATTACTTTGTTTCTAACTGGATGTAATATTTAATTAAAAATGAAAGTGTCCGAAATTTGAATCGTCCGAAATTTGAATCGGAACGGTATTTAAGAATTAAATGAACAAAATCCGTAACCGTGTATATGACACTGGGCTTCGGATTGAAAGTCGGTTTTCCAAGTGATATATCTAGATAGAGCTGGAATTAGGGCGTAACAGCTTTTGTAAACAATGACTTATATCGATGATTTCTAGAAAGTCGAAGCTCGCCCACGCAAATCAACATAACTATCAGGTAGGGGAAGTCTTCCCCTACCCGATGGTTATGTTGTGATTTGTGTGGGTGTGCCTTGAAGTCCTAGAAATCATCGAGAGAAGTCATTGTTTACAAAAGTTGTTACGCCCTAATTACAGCTCTATCAAGATATATTTATACTACACTTAAAAAAAATCACACGTTTCCTCTATGTGTTCCACACTTCAATTTGCGCAAATCGCGAAACACATCCATTTCATGTGTGAATCTTGTAATATAAATTATATCCGAACACTATAAGTTCAATTGTGATACACTTGGATTTCATGTGTCTCTCATTTTGTTATCGACAGTCTGACACTTAATCATCAAATTTCCTTCTTTAAAAAGTTTATTCTCGAACATATCTGGTTCGTATATCTTACTTTTGATAATGGATCAAAACTTATCCCACCAATATTGCATTTCATTTAATGATTACTATTTTCATTAATAATACATAAACGATAAGTAAAAAAACACTACAGCTCTCTCCAATCGCGTCACTACACCAGGACCTAGGAGCCCCAGGATACTGTAAAAGACAGGTATGGAGATATAAAGTTTTTCAGCTTTTGTCTTTCAATAGGATTTACTTACCATTCCTGATCAGTTTTATGTTTTAAAGATGATCCAGCCAAGGCCTGAAAATCTCTCTAATGAAGCCAAAAATAAAGTTTTCTGTCAGATAGAACTGACTAACTACTTCACACCGGCTGAAAAACTGATCGCTACTGGGAAAAGTAATTATTGTCAGTAGATTAAAGCGTAAATTAATATTGTGTTGTACCTGGAAACTCCCGTAAGGGTCATAACTGTAGCAGCAACATACATGCGCATTGATTGTCACTTTGTTTAATACTTCTTTTGACACTCGTCCTGCTACTGATTAGATCCATGTGCCATGCACGTTAAATGCAATAGCAGAAAACAGTTGCGCAGATCCTATACTGAGATCCCATGAATTTCAATAAGTAAACAAACGAAATTATGGTGTGGTTTGTTTTGATTTCACCAACAGCTGGGACGTTTGATTTTTGAACATTGATCCCATAAAATGCGAATGAAATTCACATGATATCATGGTGACTGCCAATTGGCAAAATTCATATTTGAAAACACATGAATGGAACGTGTGGATTTTTTTGAGTGTAAAGAGTCAGCCCAAGGCTGAAAGTCTCCCTAATAAAGATAAATTAATTAATTAATTACTAAAGAGTCTGAATTTATTGGAACAATCGATTATCTGTCAAAGTCCTATAGGATAAAACGCTGTCCAGACTGGAGAGTTATAACATGTTATAACGGTTGTCAAATAATTGCAACACAGAAACCACCATCAAGATAGCGCTATAACATGTTATAACTCTGTAGTCTGAACGTACTATAATAGTACGTTCAGACTACAGAGTTATAACATGTTATAGCACTATCTTGATGGTGGTTTCTGTGTTGCAATTATTTGACAACCGTTATAACATGTTATAACTCTCCAGTCTGGACAGCGTTTAAGAGTGGAGGCGAACCAGCCCAAGGCTGAAAGCCTCCCTAATAAAGATAAATAATAATAATAATAATATAGGATAAGTTAGTTATTCCAATCGAGCAGAAGACCTGTCAAATGGATAATATGTCGCCTCTTTACCCAATTCAGTCTCTTTAATTTACAGTCACCCTACACTGAGGCAAATAAATATAAGAATTTCACAAGGCTCAACTTATGAACGACACATATGGATTTCTTAAGAAAAAACTTATGAATGATTGTGTAACATGAGGTAAGTCTTATACGCCTTTAACCATTTCATTTTCCCAAGCGTTGAAAGACAAGTGTTCAACACACAGACCCCGTAATCTCAACGTTCATGGTTCGGTTCCAGTCTGCTTCGTTTTATTTTGTTTTGTCAATATTATTTTTCATAAGGCAAATCGATGAAATTCATACCTTGGTTTTTATGGAATTCAACCCTTCCTTTGCCTCAGTGTAGTATTATTATAGTTGCTATATTCATAGTCTGGCGGATAGAATCTCTGGAACCAATTGATGAATCTACGCGAAACTGCACCAGTGCATGCGACACCTAGGTTTGATAACCAAAACCACAAAAGTGATGATGTACTAAAAAATATTCCATACGATTTGACAGGTAGCAAAACGTCATAATCATTTTTACATCATTTCCATCTGCTGGTCGACCTTAACGTAGATTCATCAATTGAGCTGACAAATAGCAGAACCAATCGAGTAAATCATGACCAACAACAGAAAAGAGCACATCAGCTAATGCGAACAAAACTTCGGAAACCCTTTTCTCGTGACTTAAGGCTCGCCTACGCGAACTGACACCATCTTTGGGTTGAAGAAAGTTTCCCCTATCCGATGATGCCGGTAATTTGCGTTCGATTGGCGAGGAAAGAATAATCAACGTTTTGTTTATAAATTTGATAGTACCTTTTCAATTCTTGGTCTAAAATATATTGAATTGGTTCCGCTTTTTGATAGATCTAAATTCTATCCGCCAGACTATGAATATAGCTACTATAATTATGATGGATCGTCACCCACAATTATGGGCCACTTCCATTTGATTAACACGCAGAACTGACTAATCCATAATACTGGAGAGACTGTATTATGGGTCTTTGTGAGAAGGGTAAAAAAGATAAAAAAAAACCACAACCCTTTATTATGTGCCGGGCCCATTTTGTGATTTTTCAATTCGTGACGGACTTTTAGTTCTATCTTGAGCATATACAATGCTCAGTATAAAATTTTATTAACAATTTTGCATAAGATTTTTGATAATTCACTTTATACTTTCAGTGGTCACAATCTGTTTGTAGTAGGTTGATTTTTACCTAAGAAAGTAATCAACGTTACAAATATATACAAAATAATTTCATCGCCCGGTCGGTTTCCTGCAAACCGGGCACGTTGAGCTCTGCTGCAGCCATAGATCGATACAATCGGCGTGAAATTTGTGCTTACAGGTCAGCTCCCGGCAGCTCGCTTCGAAAACAAAATCCAAACAAATCGAACACATACGACCAAGTGTTTTGCTGAAAACAAAAATATAAACAATCTCGTTTCACGTTCGCTAGTAGCTCAACAATTGCAAACAACTTACAACGCATTCGTTGGTTTTGCTACATTGGCACTTGTCGTTGGTGACGTTACTCCTTGGTCTTCCCCACCGTAGTAGGTCGGTGGCAGGGTGCACGCGATAAATTTGAGCAAATCCTTCTCGTCATCGCAGTAGGTGTCATAAACCAGTATCTGTTCATGATACTGCTCCATGGTGACGCTGTGGTCGTCGACGAGATGCTTTGACAGATGGATATCTTTGATAAGCGAATAGTTACCACCGAAGCACACGCAAATCGGACAACGTACGTTGAACGGAACATCTAGATGTTCCAGCGTGAGGTGGTCGTACAGTGTCGATATGCTCAGCTGCTGACGGTCGCAATACGGACAGCCAAATATGGCGATCTCCGAGTATTCGGCGACATTAGCTTTGGAGCCGTACTTACTCAAAAGAAGCTCATCCGACACAAGCGGTTGCTTCGGATGGTCCGTGTGGCCGTTTTCCAAACAATTGCAGAATTCACCCGTATCGGAGCAAAGTAGGCATCGGAAACGGTGACGACAAGGGCCATCTACGATAACAAACAGTATTAGGAAAACTCTCAACGAATTAACTTACTTTTACAGCAAAACGGTACCGGAATGAGGTGCGTCGTTACTTTCCATGTTATCGCGAGATTTTTTTTTTTGCAAGTGTTATATTAGCAAAGCACCAAGTGATGCAATTGATAGTTGAGTTTTTCCTTATCAGTTCAGCGAGAGGCTGCAGCACTACTAAGCAAAAATAGTAGCGCACATTTCGCAGACGCACTAACACAGCTCAAGGCGAGGCACTCAATAGTTGTTTGGGGTTTCGAGGGAGCGCAGAGCGCACATTGCACAGCCTTTTGTTGTAATCTGTTATACAGATTGGTTTGCAGAAATAGGCGTTTAATGGTGTATTCAGAACTGAGTGTGCATTAGCGGACCGGAGAAAAATTTCCGGTGGCATGAGAGAGACAAAAGGGTACTTTTCTCCCTTTCGCACCTTTGCAAAATCTCGCTCCGCGCGTGGAATATCGCTTAGGACGGAATACACGTTAAACCGCTTGAAAAAAAATGTTTGATGCATATATTTCAAAATTTAAGCTTTAAACTGCTTATATTTTTAGAATCAGGTAGTGGAGGAACTAATAACGAATTTGTGTATTATACAGGTTTGAACAAGTTCCAACCCGTGTCAACCCGAGCTTATTTTCAGTGCGATCCTCAACCCGAGCCAGGCTACAAAAACAAACGTTTACAGTGTGACAGACAACAAGCCGACTTAACCTTGATACCCGATCCAGGTTGCAACTGAATCAAAAATAGGATTACCATTTAAAAAAAATGAAAAGGAGGACATTTCATTTCAATTTTAGATGAAAAGGAGGACAATGTATGTAGATATTCTTTATCATCAATAGAAGAGGCCCGAGTAACACATTTCCGTCACAATAAGTTGCAGCAACTTGTTTATGACTGATATTAGTTGTATAGAAGTTGCCACAACCGATTTGTGACAAGCGTCCAAGCGTGCTACTAGGGGGACAACGAGTTTTTATCAAACATTTTGAAAACATATGCACTTACTCAAAAATTTCAGTGTAGTGTAGTGTAGTCGTCATCAATTCGGTAAAAATCATCATTCTTTTAAGGGAAAAGGGGACGTAATTAATTTTTGGAAATTCAAAAGCAGTTTTTTCGAATAAAACCGAAATTCTGTCAATGATAAAGTGTTCACAGTGTTGCAGTAGCCAAGTAGAATCCAATGAACAAATTTTCGTTTACTTTATTTTGGTTTTGAACGAAAAAACTGATTTTGAATATTTGAAAATTAATGACTTTCCCTTTTGGTAATTGGCAGTTTGTCTATTGGGTTACGTAATATTAAAAAGCAATAATCCTTTCTAAAGGATGCAACTACCTAGCCTTCAAAATTAATTATACAGTACCGGTAAAATTAGGGTACTAATGCTGGATTTTTTGTCCTGCTACTTGTTTTAATAGACTGCAACTTTTTAATATGAGTATTGAAAATTCTGAAATTCTTACTGCAGGTTGGTTAAATAATAAAAAATAACGGAATTATTGTGAGCTTAAACAGTTGAATCAGCTTAAACTTCCAATGATTTTAGTAAAACGTATCTTATTTGGCTACCATTTTTAAAATTGTTCGCTCGTCAAGCAGAATGAACTACTACAATTTTTTTCTAGTCGAAACATTATTTTATTCGAAAACATCAGAATTTATGGTCAACGAATAGTATTATTTCTGAATCCATGATGGTGACTTTCATGTTGCAAAATTGCTGTTTATGAGTATTTTGAGATCAGAGAAGACGAGACTATAAATAAAAAAAAAGTATGATTGATTTGATTGATTGTGCTTCAAGAAATTACAATTTTAAAAACGGTTTTCAAACAAGAAGCGTTTTACCACTTTACCAAAATAATTCATCCTTCATGCAGAGTCAACTTATCATCGCCCTAAAAAAAACCGGTAAATTTTTAATATTTAATCAACCAGCAGCCCAAATTTCAGCAATTTAATGTAATACTCTAAGGAAGCCTTAGCGTGAAACTTTAAAGGCACATATGTCAGCTTCCACAAAACATACAAATTTGAAATTGCTACTCTCTGTTTGTAGTAGCACAGCAAACAACAGCAGCGAGTATCACCTTAAATGCACATATAACAAAAAATTACAGCTCTTTGAACATTTTTTGGAGCGCCAAACACTTTACAATTTTCCCTTTAAAATGACTTAAGAGAGGAGTAGATTCAAAACAAACTGCCTTGGCAACCTCTGCCCGGTATGCAATCCAGATCTAAGAGGAAGAGGCTGACAACTGGCTTCTTACTTTTTTATCTCTATCTCTATCTCTCTCTTACGGACTTCGAATCGGCCAATCACGAGCTGGTTCGCGTTTGACAGAAAAGTGGTTCGTTTTCGTCCCCGTATTGTCTACTCTTCTCTTAGATCAAGATAGTCGCTGTTCGATTGGCTCTGGCTTTGATAGTTCCTTTTGGCTCAAAACCAGCCAGTCCGCTCCTCTCTTATACCACAAACGAAGTGACAGACGACTTACTGGCGAAGAAATCGATTAAAATAATGTGGTTCACTGTAATAGAATTTTCTTGGAAGCTTGTGCCATCATCCACCAGATGGGTTAGTTTTTTTGTTTTGATTTGAACAAAGTTGATTTTGTGTACAATGATTCTTTGACAGTGTGCAAAGAGTGCGTATCATTTTGTCATTTTTTTATGCATTGCAGTTTTGAGTAGAGTGAAAGAGATAGAACCAAAACATTCTGACACATTTGGTGAAAATGCTAGTACAATCCAGTAGTAGTGTTGCCATGTGGTACAATCCAGTAGTAGTGGTGTTGCCATGTAATACACTGAAAAATTTAAATAGCAGGTTAGCCACCAAAGTTTTCGAGCCGCTCCGTCTGTCACTTCGTTTGTGCTTATACTAGACCCTTTATAATATGACCGGTTCTGTACATACTTGAAAATGAACTAATGAACTGTTTTGCACGAAAACGTCAGTTTAATAACTTCAAAGCCTAAGATGAGGTTGCGTCAAAATAAAATGGAAAATTTATTTATTAACATTTTGCTTGAAAATATTCATGGATTAAAAAGGAGGATATTTTGAGGCAAAAGGAGGACATGTAAAAACATTCGAAAAAGGAGGACATGTCCTCCTTTAGGATACCATATGGTAACCCTAATCAAAAACAAATTCGCTATAAGGCAATTCTAGATAGAGCTGAAATTAGGGCGTAACAGCCTTTGTAAACAATGAATTATCACGTTGATTTCTCGGAATTCAAGGCACGCCTACACAAACCAACATATCCAACGGGTAGGAGAAGTCTTCCTCTACTCGATGGTGAAATCATCGAGAGAAGTCTTTGTTTACAAAAACTGTTACGCCTTAATTTCAGCTCTATCTAGAATTTATCTATTAAAAAATAAATAGGTATACGGATAGGTATATGATTACATTGTAATGTTGCGAAATTTTTCTCTTCATTTAGACTCGAGTGATTTTAATTCGCTTTCGATTTCGCTCTCACCAATCCATTTCTTCTGATGTTTACTTTTGACTCCTTTGTTCCAAACCTGCTTAATGGTTAATTAGTTAATGGGTCTAAAGAGCCTGCATTTATAAAGAGACGATTGGTCAAAATTATTCAGGCTCTTTAAATGGGTCCTCTTGCATATGTTTATTTTTGACACCAAATCCAGCTCTAAAACGACAAGCAAAGGCTGAGATGGTAAGAGATTCTTAAGCCACACAAGATTTTGGCAGCTACACAATAAGTTTTTTAAGACTACGAGGTTGTTTTTTTGCTTAAATGTTTAATTAATAATGACAAAATTATTGATTTACACATCAAATTTCTTAAATCTTGTTCGGTACTTTTTTGCTGGATTCGCAAAAAGTATAGTTTCACCAATTTTCCGCAATCAAAACTGCAGAATTTCCGTAATTTAAAGATATTTACCGAAAACTGTAAATCAAAATTACTGGCTGCAATTCCGCAATACTGCAAACACAGACAAACAGACGTAGCACTTCATTGTGTATCTTCGTTCACGCATTTAACGGTTGATTTGAATATTATCAGTTCCGCGAACTACTCGCCGCAGCGCTGGCATCGAATCACTTTGACGTTTCTATACATTATATAGAAGTTTCATGCAATATTGTTTGCGAGTTAGCGAGCAAGCTTGTTTTCCGTGAGAAACCCGAGAGATGTCGTTACTGAGGTCATATGTTTTGAGATACTATATTTTCAAGAAAAACTTTTTCAAAGAGTTACGTCTGTTTGTCTGTGCTGCAAACATTGTGACGAATATGCTGTAAACATAATCTTTTACAAAAACAAACAGCAGTAATTTACCTGATTTTTGTAAAAAAAATACAGAACAGTTTTGTAAACTTCATACTGTAAATCACAACCTTTGCTGTCATTTTGAAGTTGAGTGTTCTTCGGCTATTCGTTGTGACTAGTAAGTACGTTACTTTTTTCCTATTACATATCCGTCCAATTTACATCGAAAGTATTAATTATATAACATTTTGACGTAGGACTACGTCTTTGATTTCTATATGGGGGTACACTTTGTGAAAACCGAAAATGGAACATGTAACAAATTAAGAAAGATTTTGAACGTTAATAACTCAGCTGCACCTGGTCCAATTTCAATAATTTTATCACCAATCGATCAGGAATATGGCAACGCATCGATAATAATGCTTCCGAATGTTGATTTTCAACAAGAAACTATTGAAAAACTGGTAAATGTTCAGCATTGTCCAAAAGCGTCGAATTAACTAACAAATCCACCAATTACCTACATGCATATGCTGCTTCCCCAGCACAGTCGTCAGAGAGTAGTAAGTAGACGAAACAAGTCGAAGTGGCATTCGCCTCCGATCCTCGGGCGCGTGTGAATAGGGAGGATGGAATTGCGTAATATTTTACACACTCATCGCCATGTTCAGAACCAAACGCAAATTCTTCGAGATAACCACCATCCGTCGTCTGGCTCGCCGTGGCGGTGTCTGACGTATCTCCGGTTTGATTTACGAGGTGTGCTGAAGGTGTTCCTGAAAAATGAGATCTGTGATGCTGTCACCTACACTAAACACGCCAAGCGTAAGCGGCCATGGATGTCATCTACGTTTTTGAAGTGACAGAGACGCACTCTGTTTGGTGTCAGAGGTTAAATCATCACCAACATTGGAAACAAAACGGCTCTTTTCAGGGC